AAGAAGACAATTGTAGGTCAATCTTGCCATTTGACCCTTTTTAAACTTATCAACATTATGTTATCACTCCTAAGTTCTGCAACTTTAAGAGTCCCTATCATTCGGATAAGGTTTCTGAGTATCTTCACCTGGCTTCTATTCAGAGAATAAGTGAAACTTATGATATGGAGAAGAATAAGCTATTTCAGTTTATAGTTATTAAGTCTAAGCTCTGGCGTGATCTGGTCAGGATCCTGACTCCGGAAGATTTTCAAAGACTCCAGAGCATGACTGACAGGAAATCACGTAGGATCTCTTACTTAATAACAAAACGACACGACGATAAATTTCGTAAACTTGGGATTATAAGACAGCCTAAGTCAAAGCCATTACGCCTAGTTGAAGTGGTTTCCGAGGTGACAACACTTACTGTTCAGTACGACGATCGGAAGAAAGTAGTAAAATAATCATCATTTCTTCTTAATCCCAAAACAACCACATTCCTGTAATAAGGACTCAACTTTTCACTCAAAGATGACATAGGGCTTCTAGGATACATCCTGGAGGAGGTTCCCTGTGGATACATTACGGGAAAGGAAGATGGAACTAATTTCAGTGATCTTGACACATCAGGAGCCACCACACGGACAGATTTGCAAGGATACGCAATATCTGGAATTGAATTAAGAATTAGTCCTTTCGGTGGATAAAGGAGGAGTGACAATGATAATAGACAAAAACACTATACCAAGAAGATGGAATATATTCTACGAGACTAGGCTGCATATCGTAAACTACAGAAGGAACCAACTATGAAGTGACATGCTGAAAGATATGCATAGGAACGAGGAAATTGACGCATAAATAAGAAATTTAGTCATAAGAAATGGTGCGCGACCACCAACAGCCTACGGATTATCGAAGATACAAAGACCAGCTAGTAAGGCTGATGGTCAACAACAAGTATGGAGAAGCACATATATTGGCAAAGTTCATATGTTTGAAACTCAAGACATTAAATGACAGGCTATCAAGCATGGTGAAATATTCATATGAATTTTCTCAAAGAATCAAGAGCATGTTACTAGCAGAAACAAACTTATTTGTAAGTTTTGATGTTGAATCCATCTATACAAATATCTTTGGAGAAAATGCCCTAACGGCCTTGCTGGAAATCGTGAACTGAGAAGGATATCCTGGAATCACAACGGATCAGGATGGAATCGTTAACACGACTAATCAACTCAACAATAAGAACAACCTTGTTCTACATTCAACGGGAACATCTATGAACAAATATTTGGAATTCCCATGGGATCGCCGCTACCACCTTTTTGGCAAGCGTATACATGAACAAATTTGAAGAGAGCTTCAAGATGTCACAGCCACAACCAGCAGTACTCATGCGGTACCTAGATGAAAACTTCGCACTTATCATACATATCACATACCATACGGTACCTGCGAACATGAATATATCAGCATACGAATCAAGGAACATCAAAGGCCCTGCATGAAAATGGATACCGAATTAGCTGAACACATCGCACAGACTGGATATGAAATCAATTGGAAGGCAACAGAAAGAATGGCCTTATATGGTGATGACACAGGGAAGCGTAAGATTAGGGAGGCCATTGACATACTTGGGGAAAAAATCGGATATACAAGAGATTGAATGAAGGCATAGTTAGCGATAACTTTGTCTAGTGCTTAAGCAAACTCGGGGAAAACAAGAATACAGCAAGACCAGTAAAAAGGAGGCGCCTGGTTCAAGGATCTATCGCTAACCGGAGGAAAAGCGATCGTGACGAGAAAAGGGAAGGGCGGGGATTTTCGGGAAATAAGTGATCACGTTGTCAGTGAGTGATGTCTGTTCGTTGGGGGCTTCGGAACTAGGAACACGGATAAGCATAACCATCACAGAAGTCCGGCATTATGGCCAAAATGTACGAAAAATCCACCTGACATGCAACAGGCGACCAAGGATAGGCGTCCACAGTTTGCTCAGGTTACTCGAGTTTAATGAAAGAGACTGCTCGTGAGAGCAATGCCCAATATCTGCAAGCATGGGAATCAGAGCTTAGGAACTCTGTACGTGTACGTGCTTCTGGGGCCTTGAGAAATAGCGCCTGGAGTAAAACGCACACTGTGACTGGAACCGTGTGAAATCGGCAAGCCAGAAAGATAAACGGATCTACGGGACCATAATCGAAAACGAGGGGGTTAATATCAGATGTGATGAGGCAATACTAAATTTGCCAAAAAAGGACACACATTTTGACGATTGGAATGTATACCATTCAGGTGTGATAGGGCAGGATTTGGATTAGAGGGTAAAGAGTTGATAGATGGGGCAGAACAGAAAGAGGAGTGATAGTGTAACCATGGGATCGACTTCGCTTGCTCTCTGACGAGCTCGTAGCTTAGTACCGAGAATGGCTACACTTACTGATGATGCCGGCGAAACGTCTGATAATGTAGCAAGTCCACGGTCGGATGCTGGGAATTATGTTAACTACTATGACAGAGCACTTCGGACAAGGTGCGTTTTACTAAGTCGTCCTGGCAGCATTACCAAGCTGCGACAACGAGGTCAACCCACTTTTATAAATCGAAAGGAGACTGCGCCCATACCGGAGGCCAGACTATTCTGGTCTTCATATCTTCGATAAAAAGGATAAGTATTATGGGCCAGGAGGAAGATGCTCGGTCACAATTGCAGCTACTTCACTTTGCAACAGCATTCAGGGAAAGCGCAGGATATCCACCCGAATAATGGAGTGTCTCACTAAATGGACAAAGTTGAGCTGTAAAAAGTAGGTGGGATTGCATTCGGCCACTTTTCGTCCTTGTTCTCGGTAAATTATCGTAAAGAATGGTGTCCTGCTCCGACGATGCTCGCCGCATGACGCACGAAAGTTCAGCAAGGATTTATCGGAGTCGCAGGGCGGTGCACCGAGTACCCATTCGCAGCTCCTCTACATCTTTCGGTGAGACCAACTTACAAGTCCCCTCCACTCGCCTCTTGAAACAAAATGGAAAGTACTCCAACAAGACTTAATCGCTGCCTTTTTCAGGCAGTTCTTTTAATTGATCTTTCGAAATATAGCCTTCCTTGTCTTCCTTCCTTGTCCAGTTAAGTTTTAGCCCTATTCTAATTCTGCTTTAGACTAATTATTAAAATCAGCTGGTATAATACTTGCAGTGATCAAAGGAATGCACGAATCGAAATATTATTGCACCCGACACCTGCGAGTGTTGATTATTAATTAAAGCAACTTACGCGTTTTAGCCATGATGGCACCTTCCGTTGGTTATCTCCTCTGAAGTGTAGATTCACAATAATGCAGCACAAAAAGGTGGATAATGTGATCATACCCATGTTAAGGCAATAATAAGTGCCTATAATGAAGAATGAAGATAATTATTTAATGTATTATATTTATAGTTATTAAATTTAGAGGCTATTATCAAAACCTGAATAAAAGCTATAGTCATTCTAGGTTGCATAAGATGATAAGGTACTGATAGTTGAATTTTTCCTCGTTTCTACGGTTATGGCTTAGAAGTACATTTATAGTGGGGTCATTGATGAGGCAAGTTGTTATTATGCTAAGGCAATCGGCTATGCTACTTATACTCATAATGGGTTTCCATACTATCAATATATATTCTCTAACACTTAGAACCACAGTGGATCGCACCACAGTTCCCTTATTATTAACGATCAATCTCAAAGGAACTCTTTCCTTGTGTACTTTCGCAAGGCCTTACGTGAGCAGAAGGTGTCCTAGCATCCCTTTAAATAAGTGAACTCATTTTCCACTACTCAATTTCTCCTTTGCTTACACAAACGTTAAGTGATTTCCTAAGTCTGGCCTTTAGATTTTCTGTGGGATCCTTCACTA